TCTAACTTTAAAAATTAAATAAATAAAAATAATAAAAACTGACATTAAAACAATCATTAATTTAAACCTTTAACACAGTTATCACACACATATTGAAATATTTAAGTAGGTTTAAATCACAACCTAGATGCATTTCATATTTTTTGTGGATTTTCTTTTAACGGCCGAATTATGGTTTAATTACCATGACATACATATTTTGTATTTTGTTTGATAATAAAATAAAAAAAATGGACAGAACTACAAATGACTAACAGCACACGTCACGAAAAAAAACATTGTATAGCGAAGTCATTTGTCACTATTTTTATTTTCTTTAGGAGCGATTGCTCGTAAAGCAAAAATCACGTGCTTACAATACGCACCTATAAACAGTTCATAATTGAGTTTAAATCGGCATATTTTTCATATGGCCCTAACTTGACGAAACGTCCGTAGAACTTTGTAAAAACGATCATAAAAGAGTCCCAAGATGATTACCTTGGAAAATCAAGTATAAAGCCTGAAGAATCAGTCAGAACAACAAATTCCTATCTTCCAAAAATAGCTCCAAATACAGCTAATAAAAGGGGAAAACGATTGCAAAGCGTAGAGATTGAGTTTCTAGGCACGGGGACAAACTTTAACGGTAGAAATCGTTAAAACGTACCTTAATCACTCAAGAACACCATGGAACCCTCTATTCAGCTTCCTCACCATTTTGGGATGAAAATGAAATATTTTGGGGTCTTACAAGTCGGATTTGCCGACTTATACCACTTGTTTGACCCGACTCGGTTCGCGACCCAGTTTCAGCCTGGACAGTCCGGGGTAAAACAGTCATAACTTTTTACTCCAATGTTCGTTTGATGTGAGGTTTTTTTGGTTGCGAACTAGACTTGTATACCTTCGATTAGATAGGTTGTGGGTCCCATAACTTATTATATATTGGGAGAAATGATCTGATATATTTTACCCAAAGTTTTGAAAAATTATTAGAGAAATTTACGATAACCTTTGCCGACCTTTATTTCTCAACTTGCTTGACTCCAAAACTTAACATGTGACCCGTGTGATATTATAATATCTCATAACACACTATTCTTAGCATATTATACACTCTTAGTCTTATCCCACAGGTACAAGTTAACTTAAACCTTCCGAACGCGCGGGGTGCTACCCGAGCCATTTCTTTAACTACGAACCTTTGTTTAAAGGATTCCTTTGACCTAAAGCTTTAGTTAGTTCCTTGATATTACCGCACATTTTCAGTCTTATTATCCCAATGTGCTATAGCCAATCGTATATACCTAATATAACTATGCCACGTTACGTATATTACGTAAGAGAAGAGAAACAAAATGCATGGGGTCTCACAGTCTACCCCCCTTAAGAACATTCGTCCGCGGATGGGTCAAGTCAATTCCTTGGTTTCATTTTTTCCCGCTAATACGTTATTTGCGAGGCTATATTTGTTACATTTGCAAAGCATAAATCAAATTCTAAAGATTCCAACTACTAGACTTCGTATAGCTATCTCGCAATAAGAAATTTAAATTGCACTTTCTTGTCATTTAAAAATCCAATTAAGTGTTGTAAAGAAATAATTGCCAATTACTTAAATGCGACTCACCTTAAGTCGTAAATAGGTAGGGGTACTTCTTCCTCATTTCCTCCTCAGCTTCCCAGGTCATTTCCTCGATGTTGTTATTTCGCCATAACACTTTCACGGAAGCCACTTCTTTAGTTCGAAGCTTTCTTACCTGCCGATCTAAAATAGCTACTGGTACCTCTACGTAAGATAAGTCTTTAGCAATGTGAATATCCTCAATGGGCGTAATACGTGAAGGATCTCCAATACACTTCCGCAACATACATACATGAAACACAGGATGGACTGCTCCCAATTCTGAAGGCAAATCAAGCTCGTACGCCACCCTACCAATCCTCCGAATAATCTTATCCGGTCCAACATACCTGGGGATGAGCTTCCCCTTTTTTCCAAATCTCATGACGCCCTTCATAGGCGATACTTTCAGGAAAACCCAATCTTCTACATCAAACTCTAAGTCTCATCGTCGAACATTTGCATAAGACTTCTGCCAACTTTGTGCTGTACGCAGCTGGTCTCTAATAAGTTTTACCTTTTTCATTGCTTGCTGGACTAAATTAGGACCTAGCAACTCTGCTTCCCCGACCTCGAACTAATCGATCGGCGACCTACACTTCCGCCCGTATAGTGCTTCGTAAGCGCCATCTGAATACTAGCTTGGAAGTTGTTATTATAAGCGAACTCAATAAGAGGTAGATGATCATCCCAACTTCCTTTAAAATCTAGCACACAGGCACGTAACATATTCTTAACTGTCTGAATAGTACGCTCTGCATGTCCATCAGTTTGCGGATGAAAAGTTGTGCTAAGATTTACCTACGTGCCTAGACCCTTCTGAAAAGATTTCCAAAAATGTGTTGTAAATTGAGCCCCTCGATCAGAGATAATAGATAATGGTACCCCATGAAGGCGCACAATCTCCCGAATGTAAAGCTTGGCATAATCCTCGGTTAAATATGTCGTCCTGACTGGCATAAAATGAGCAAATTTTGTAAGCCTATCAATAATTACCCAAATAGAATCATACCTCCATGGAGTGCGAGGCAAACCGGTGATGAAGTCCATATTTATCATGTCTCATTTCCATAATGGAAGTTCAATACACTGAGTTAGGCCTCCAGGCCTCTGATGTTCGGCTTTAACTTGCTGGCAGTTAGGACATTGGGCTACCATCTCCGCGATATCTTTTTTCATTCCATTCCACCAATAGATCTATCGAAGGTCCCGATACATCTTTGTCGCTCCGGGGTGAACTGCATATCTAAAATAATGGGCCTCCGAAAGAATCTTGGCACGGAGCTCTCCGACTATCGGTACACATAAGCGGCCCTGGTATCTAAGGACTCCATCTCCAGTTAGCTCAAATAAAGGTTGTCTCTGCTGTGGAATACTTTCCCTCAGTTTTATAAGCTCAGGATCCTCGTGTTGTCGCTCTTTCACTTTAGTAACAAAAGAAGATTTTGCCGTATTCTGAACGAGAATGTGTCCACCCTCTGCATCTACCAAACGCATATGCAAACTAGCTAGTTGGCATAGGTATTTTGTCATCTTGACCTTTATCAACTTTAACATGGCTTAGACTGCCCATGGACTTTCGGCTAAGAGCATCAGCAACAATATTAGCTTTACCGGGATGATATAAAATATCAGCATCATAGTCCTTTAGTAATTCTAGCCATCTTCTTTGTCTTAGGTTCAGCTCCCTCTGTTTAAATTAATACTGAAGGCTCTAGTGGTCAGTGAAAACATCAATATGAACCCCATATAGATAATGCCACCAAATATTTAGGGCGAAGACAACTGCGGCTAACTCAAGATCGTGCGTAGGATAGTTCTGTTCATGTTTCCGCAACTGTCTGGAGGTGTACGCAATAACCTTACCATGCTGCATAAGAACACAACCTAGGCCAATTCTCGAGGCATCACAATAGACAACATAACCCTCGGTGCCATCCGGAAGAGTCAAGACAGATGCCGTCATAAGCCTTTTCTTTAGCTCCTGAAAACTTTTTTCACATGCCTCAGTCCACTGAAACTTAGCTCTCTTATGTGTCAGCTTCGTCAATGGTGCAGAAATAGAGGAAAATCCTTCCACAAACCTTCGGTAATACCCTGCCAAGCCTAAAAAACTACGAACCTCTGTCGGATTCAAGGGCCTCGGCCAAGTCATCACCGCTTCAAGGTTTTGGCCATCAAACTTGATACTATCGCTGGTAATAACATGACCAAGAAAAGCTACAGAAGTTAGCCAAAATTCACATTTAGAGAATTTAGCATATAACCTGTAGTCCTAGAGAGTCCGGAATACAATTCGCAAGTGGTCCGCATGCTCGGCTTCCGATCGTAAATATATCAAGATATCATCAATAAACACAATCACAAATTCATCCAAGATTGGTTTGAATACCCGGTTCATAAAATCCATAAAGGCCGTTGGGGTATTTGTAAGCCCAAAATACATGACAAGGAATTCAAAATGGTCATACCTCGTCCTAAATGTTGTTTTTGGGATATCAATATCCCTGACTCGTAGCTGATGATAACTGGATCGCAAGTCGATCTTCGAAAAGCATTTGGCACCTTGTAACTGGTCGAACAAGTCATCAATCTGTGGAAGAGGATACTTATTCTTGATAGTGACTTTATTTAGTTGCATGTAGTCAATACACATCCGCAAGGAGCCATCTTTCTTTCGAACAAAGAGCACCAGAGCACCCCATGGGGATGTACTTGGCCTAATAAAGCCTTTATCGAGCAAGTCCTTCAATTGTTCCTTCAATTCCCTTAGCTCTACCGGAGCCATTCTGTAGGGAGGAATGGATATAGGCTACGTATCAGGAAGTAAATCTATAGCAAAATCGATTTCCCTTTCGGGGGGAATTCCTGGAAGCTCGTCAGGGAATACCGTCGGGAATTCATTCACAATAGGAACCGATTGAAGAGTCGTTGGCTCCTTATTTATATCCCTGACATGAACCAAATGGTATATACAGTCTTTAGCAATAAACTTCTGAGCCCTAAGGTATAAAATAAACTTACCCTTGGGCGTGGCTGCATTACCTTTCCATTCAAGGACAGGCTCACCCAGAAAATGAAATCGGACCAACTTTGCACGACAATCAATATTAGCATAACAAGCTGCCAACCAATCCATACCTATAATGACATCGAAGTCTAGCATAACCAATTCCACTAAATCAACAGAAGGTGGATGGTCATTAATTAACACCGTACAACCTCGATAGACATGATTAGCAATAATAGAGTTGCCAACTGACGTAGACACCTCAACTGGTTGTGGCAACAACTCAGATCTTATGTCAAGCTTACCAGCAATAAATGGAGTAATATATGAAAATGTAGAGCCGGGATCTATCAATGCATAAATGGCATGAGAATGTATTGTCAATATACCTGTGACAACATCTAGGGATGCCTCTGAATCCTGTCGGCCTGTGAGTGCATAAAAGCGGTTCTGGCCACCACCACTAGAACCTGAGGTGTCTCCTCCACCTCTCCCCCTACCACATCCCTGATTAGACTGTGGACCTGGTCGGGGAGCACGGACTGAGGGCGAAGAGGCTGTTGTGGATCCTGAAGGCTGAACTGGTGCACCTCTGCTTAACCCCAGGCACCGACTAATAAAATGTCCTATCTGCCCATAATGATAACATGCACTCGAACCCTGTCTACACTGCCTAGTGTGCAGCTTACCGCACTGAGTACATGGAGGAATAGGTTGTCTCATTTGTGCGTAACGCTCCTATCGATGGCTCTCAGGCTGGCCTGACCTCTACCCCGGTCCTAACTGAATATAACGATCAAACCACTAGCCCTGCATTTGTGGTGGGAAACTACCTGCTGATCGAGGTGGATATCGATGGAGTGGGGGCTTGAAATCACCCTGTCGCTCCCTATAAGACCCCATAGTATAAGCCCTCTTACTCTGCTCCCTATCCCTGCGAGTATCACGAATCCGATGGGAAAGGTCCTCTGTAGTCTGAGCGAAAGCCTGTATGCGGGAAATATCTACATCATCTGATAGGGATGCAACCCTACAGTCTCTAATCAGATGATCCCCCAAACCATCCACATAATGATGAACTCTAGCCCTCATGGTACGTACTATATCTGGTGCATACCT